ATCAGTTGACTTAGAACCAACTGCTTTTTGGCTAAAACAAGAATCCCGATCTCACCAAAGTATGCTTTGAAACATCGCCCCTTATACTTTGAAAATAACTCTTTTTAAGAAACAACGAATACTCAGAGCCCAAAAGACAGATGAGTATTTGCAAAAAGATTTTCAATAAAGCAACTTAAAATTGACTGATCTTAAAAACTCTTAGACAATTGTGAATTTATCCCAAATCATTTTAGAAAACATTCCCAAAAAGGTTAGAGTAGAAATAGAAGTTTGATAAAAAGTTTAAAAATCTCCAATTTTTACGGGTGATAACTAAAGATTAATTAATCAAACAATTAAAATTGATGACTATTCTATAAAAATCTTTTCCTAAAAATATATAGACAAAACCATTCCTATAAAGATCATTTCAACAAAGAACTCTTGCCTCCTCACACTTAAATGGAACCACGCCCTCGTGGTTTAAGAGTGTTATTGGTATTGGAGTTAATTGTTGAAATGCTCACATGCAATTGCTAAGTTATCTCAATACTTATAAAATTCAAAGATGAAGATTGAAATAATAGATGACCATAACATGTAAGTATGAAATAATTCATAAAATATTCTCAAAAGGGTTTTAAGAGTCATGAAAAGAAGAATTCTAACGTAAGATCATATAAATATCCAAAATTAATGTTCAGATTTTCAGCCTTTAATAATCTATGTCAAATTTCTAAGGGAAGACGATGGAAAATCTTCCGTTTCTGGACTAATCTTAGAATTGTTCGCTGGCTAAGTTCCTTCTTTGAATATTTAATTCTTAATCCAGTGGTCCCCAGTTGGAATCAGAGCCTTAGGGAGGGTAGCAGAACTTTCAGATTCTCTCTGGATTCAAATGCATCTGGGTTTTTTGTTAAAATTGTTGAGCAACACATGTTTGGTTATACTACCACTTTTGTACCTGAGGATATTTGCAGGCATGGATTCAGATTTTTCTTGGCTCACCTTAATAAGGCAGGTCATGTTCTTGAGAACGGTAAGGATAAATCTTTAGGTGAGGAGCAACCCCATTCTATTGACACATCCATTTCTAAATCTCTGTTTGAATCTGACATTGGAGGGACAGCCATACAACCGATTTCCACATTAGCAACCAATGATGGGTCATTTGTCTTGAATTCAAATCAGTCTTCTCCAAATTTCGAGCTTTTTACAGATGGTGCTAATGCTACTCAATCCTTCCCAATTGATGATCAAGATGATTTGAAAAAATCCCTACTTACTGAAACTCCAGCTCCTTCTAAGCAGGCAGTTTCTTCCCCTTTTGATGCATGTAAGATGGGTCTTAATGCTGTTTGCTCATATGAAAGCATAGATAGTTCTGCTCAGAGCCGCCTCAATTATGCAAACACAATTCGGTTGCCTCAACTGCACAACACTTCCACAGCTCTCAACATTCACGCACTACCTTTCCAGGCCTCCATTCCCGTCCTAAAGCAGCCCCAACTAAACAAACCTCTCAAGGAACTGAAAGAGAAGACAATGGAATCAGAGCCAAAGGCTAAAATTGAAAGCATTGGCATTCCATAAGGAGGCAGTTCAAACAATTGCAGTTACCACCAAGCCCTTGGGCCTTTTAGACTTGAAGCTAATTTATGAACGCTCCCCACAAATCAGTCTCATTGATATGCCTTTAGGGATAAATGGAGAAGAACATAAGATGCAAAAGGACGGGGTTGATGGGGTTGATGGGGTTTCTGAAATTGCCTGTTGATGATGAAGACTCTTACACTCTAGAGGATGAAATGGAGCTTGATGCTATTCGTATTTTGGATGACTTCAATCCTAAAGGAGGTGTGAAAGGAAAGAAGAAAAAGAAGAAGTACAACAAAAACAATAGCGGAAAAAAGAAGATATGATTTTGTAATTCATTGCTTCCTTTTTTTTATTTGGTTTTCTTGTTGGTGAACTTCTTAGGGTGTTTACTGGTAGGTTCAGTTTGGTTTAGATTTGAGGTGGATTGTAGTTATCGTTTGGTTTTAGTCAGGCCTCTATAGGGGTTTAGCCTGCCCCCTCCTATGTACCATGTTTTCTTTTATTAATAAATAAGGCAGAGCTTCCCTGGGCCCTGCCACACCCTCGGGTGAATTTTCAGGCCAAAAAAAAATGAAAAAAGAAAAAAAAAGTATACACACACAGATATATATATAT